AGAGGGGGGTGACTGTGCTCTGAGACATTTCAGGACGGTGCTCGAGGGAGCCGAGCTCTGTAGCCCCTTGGGCCGTCCTGCAGGCACACTTGCTTTTTTCAGCTTGATGCTGTTTTTCGTACCCTCTACCGGCTCTCACAGTAGAACTATCATTACTTGCTTGTTGCTGCATGTTGCTGATTCATACTCAGAAGAAAAAGAAAATTTGTCTTGCACACTCTTCCCTGTCACTGAAGGCATATGTTAATGAAAGGCAGATTTTGGCATCCACTCTTCTCTGTAGCGGTGAGGGCACATATCGATTCATTATAAATGAAGATGCAACAGTTATTTTACTTCTACTCATATTTATAACTATACAAAAGCTATCCTGCTGGTACCTTTGTGCCTCTCAAATCCCAAACCATATTCCAAGAGATGCTCAATATTTTATGCTTGAATTGGCTTTAACATACACACAATGTTTTAAATAAAGATGTTTTCACTCGTCTTTTGTTACTGACACTCCCTGAATTCACATTTCAGATTATGCCGGAGCTGAACCCTTTGAAGGCTTTCCCCTCCGCTGTACAGACTACAGACTAATTATTTTTCTTTTTTTTTTTAATCCTCACCTGAGGACACTTTTTTTTTATTTGCATTTATCTTCAGATAGAATGAGAGGGAGAGAGGGAGGAAGAGAGAGAGAAACATCGACGTGAGAGAGACACATCGAGTGGTTGCCACCCATACAACCCCAACCAGGGCCGGGGACAAACTGCAACCGAGGCACGTGCCCTTAGCGGGAACCGAACCCAGGCCTCTCCTGTCCGCGGGGCCAACGCTCCAACCGCTGAGCCAAACCGGCCAGGGCTAATTTTTTTGTCTTTAAGTGAGGAGTATGCAAGTACTGGGAGCTCTGCTTACTCGAAGGCAGCCCAGTCGAAGGCTGAAGGCTGAAGTGGCGGGGCGAGAACAGAGTCGAGCATACGGAATGCTGGACCGAACTGATAGAGAGCTTTTGCTTCGTCATTCCTCTCAGTTCCTTCTCTTCGCTTCCTTCCCAGTTTGTTACTGTGGACAAGTGGAACCTACTTAGTTCATAGAGTCACCGGGTCTAGAATGAGCTGTAGTAACCTTGAAGGCCGTCTGACCCAAACGCCCATCCATTGTTGTAATTACCCATTTTATTGAGAAATTCTTCGCCAGCAGCTCTCTGAGCAGCACGGGAGCCTCCCCATGAGAAGCGCACTGATGAGAGCAGGTTTTGGGATCAGTCAGTTCTGGGTACAAACTGGCTGTCACTGACTAGTGGTGACATACTGAGCAAGTTCCCCAACATCTCAGTCCTCATCTTCTCTGTTACATGGTCATAATGAAAACAAATTCGTAGGAACTGGAGGATTAAATGAAGTAAATAAAAGTTAGTATACACAAAACCTGGCACTCAGAGCTAAATTAAAGGTCGCTAAGCAGTTCCATAGGAACTAGGACCTGAGCTTCCTCTCTGACGCGAGGCCATGTTTTTCCACAACATATTACTGTCTTTCTCACAAGGTCTCATAAAACCACTGGAAAGGTTTTTGTTGTTGGAGTACTCAGTACTGCCTTGTAGATTGTGAATGCTTTTATTAATAACAATACCTCACATATATTCAGTGCTTTAGAATTTACAGTGCACTTTCACAAGTGGGGGAAACGTGTACTGATGACTAAGAGGCAGGAAACAGGAGCAGAGGTTCTGAAAAGTTGATTAGCGATGCAAATGTGAAGTAACCTGCAGCTGTAAGGAGCTTAATAAACACGAAAACCAATCAGAAGTTACAGTGCAAGACACATTCAGGCTTCAGAACTTGGCTTTAGTGAGTCCAAAAACCATAGGAATACAGCATAGGAGTTTTCGGGCAAGAATTTAAGTTACCTGAGTTTAACAGTCTAACTGGTTCAGATGTCCAGGAGGAATTTTTACATGTGAACTAGAGTACAGGAATGATTTGGACTGCATAATGATAGAAACATCAATGCGCTCATAATTTAGAGATGAAGCATATGGAACTGAGACAAACAGCAAATAAGCTCTGAGAAGTCAACATTAACTGGGTGTCTCAATATGACACGTGTCATACTGCATGCAAAACTTTTAAAAATAGAAACCGTTACCTTGGCTTTTCTCACAACCTCGAACAGTTCTTCGTGTGAGAATTTTTACATTTGAAAAATGCTCAAAAGTGAATTTTTAGAAATGGAAAAAAATGGAAGGTGCATTTTCAATATAGCATATTTCAGTGTTTCTGTATTCTAAGAAGATGAAGGAACATATCTTTTTCTGTTAGAAAGAAAATGGTCCTTTTAAAATCTAGCTCCCTCAGAAGATTAATTTTTAAATATCAAACTCTGCCTAACTAACTGGTCCTAGTTTTATGGACATAAGGGGAAAATTAAAATTTCATGCAATTATCAAATCCTTTAAATTAATACTCAAGCAGATACATTTGCCACTCTTCATGATTTTTTAATACCTGTAGGCAATATTCCAAATCAGGTCTTTCTCACTTTTTTTCCCTCTGCCAAAAATCTACATTTTGTGTAGCAGCAAACTCGAAGGAGGAGGTTGATTCAGGTAGGCTAAGCGAGATAGACTGACCACCAAGCTTAAAACCGTGGTAGAAATGGCCCTACTGAACAGCTACGTGGAATAGGAGGCCTATGCTAGCCAGAGCCCAAAAGAGGACAGTTTGCGTCTCCCAGTCCAAATCTGGTTGATGTATTTTTGCAGTTTCTAAAGGTTAACTACATGCTGTAATACACTATAGAAAGACATGAAGCTGAATTTTACTGTGCCAGTCAAGAGGCTGGCTAGAATCTGCTATTTAGGACTAAGAGAGACAGTACAATTTACATGTGTGAGAATGTGAGAATAATTTTACCTTCTGTTGTTTTTAAAACCACCTTGGGCCATGATTTTGAAATTGAGAAACAAGATCTGCTGGGGTTCCCATAGCAACATTAACTTATCTAACTGCCCTTGTTGTATGTAATACTTTCATTACTAGTTTGGCTTTTAAATGTACACTCTAATTATGAAATACAACTAAGAGTCTCAGGCAAATTTTAAAGTTTACATTTACTGACTGATGCATGTTTAAACAAACCTTGATATTGTACTTCTGAAAACTTGCTACGAAGGCAAGTGTGCACAAAAACCTTTCTGTGGTCTTTGTTGCTCCTGATCTCTGACCTCCTTGCATTTATTCTATAGATGACCCCTCAACCAATCCCTCTCTAAATACATGTATAACATGCCATGACTTGGACGAAACAGAAACAAACCTCAGATGGCTCCAGTCCAGACTGGAACCCAATGTGCCCTCTATTCTAGTCTGTCTATAAGCTGAACCCCTCCCTATCTCTTCTCCACTATTCCTCATTATGAAGGTCCCACCCCAGATACATTTGTTTTCTCACCATATTCTGAGAGCCTATGTACAAGGACTAGCCTGAGGCCCAGTCCCTTTCAGAACTCTGATTCTTCCCCATTCCTTCCCACAACAACCTTTCTTTTTGGAACTGTTACTACTGAGACCACCACCATGTGACATGTTGTTTGTGACTGGGCAGCAGCCCTCCCCTCTTTTCTTTAATAACAGTGTCTTGATTTTCCTTTGAGGAACTTTCCTCGATTCTGTACATTCTGGTGGTACCATCAATTAAGATGCTCTGCCCCAGCCTTTTATGAGATAATCCATGACCTAAGTTGGACCAATCACATTCTTCCAGGAAGTTGAATTTAAGTAAATTCAAAAAGGAAAGACAGTGGGAACTGAATTATTCCGATGGTGGTCCTTTCAAGAGAGTGTCCATTTCCTCCAGATCTCTGTGCCTCATAATCAAAGTCCACTAGCTGTTAGGCTCCCTACGTGAATACTTGTTCAGATATTATCTTTAATCTTGATTTAGAGGCTTGGGATGTGCACATTTTGCTTGCCAGCTAGATACTAGGAATGCTCTCTGAAAACAGGGCTGGGTCTTTATTTATTGTATGATTCCATATAATTCAGCACAATGTAAGTATTTAGTAACAAATAAAAAAACCAATCGCAGAAACTCCATAAATACTTAGTAACAAATGAAAGACTAATCTTAGAAACTCCATTCTTTTGATGTGCAATATGCAAGTTAATTTACATCCTTTTTGAGGCAAGGTGGTAAATAAGTTTATTTTTATTTTTATTTTTTATCCTCATCCGAGGACATTTTTCCATTTTTGTTCAGATGGAGTGGGAGGGAGGAAGGGGGGTGGTACAGAGAGAGAGAGAGAGAGAGAGAGAGAGAGAGAGAGAGAGAGAGAAACATCGACATGAAAGGGACACATCGAGTGGCTGCCTCCCGCACAACCCCAACCAGGGCCGAGGTACATGCCCTTAGCGGGAACCGAACCTGGGTCTCTCTGGATCGCAGGCTGATGCTCTAACCGCTGAGCAAAACCAGCCAGGGTGGTAAATAAAATTTTAATTGCTACAATTTAAGAATTTTCTTAGGTATAACAGTTGTCATAAAGAACTTACAATGACTTCTACACTTGTCTGAAAATAATGTTAGCACGGGTCATACTTCCCCAGTTTTAGAAAAGAGAAGAGAAAATAAAATTTAATTTCGGACATTAGTCTCTGAATTAAATAAAAAAGCTTTTGGGAAAACAGACAACAAAACAAAAAACAATATACCTTTGTCCTGGGCTTGTGACTTTCCCTGGGAACAAGGCAAGCTGCCTCTCTGCTACTAGACAATACCAAAGGGGAGTTAAAATGTGTTTGACTGCCCAGCCAGTGTGGCTCAGTGGTTGAGCATTGACCCATGCACCAAGAGGTCACTGGTTCGATTCCTGGTCAGGACACATGCCCAGGTTGTGGGCCCAATCTCCAGCGGGGGGCATGCAGGAGGCGGCCAGTGTATGTTCTCTCACATCAATGTTTCCATCTCTCTCTCCCTCTACCTTCCTCTCTCTCTAAAATAAATAAAGAAAAATTATATTTAAAAAATATGTTTGACTAATATATAAATAGAGAAGGTGATTTTCTCCAATTCTGAAAAATGAAAGGTTATGGCTTCTCAGAATCATCTGACTTGTGACAGTAATTTAATTGAATACTTATAAAATTCAAGCAACAAACAAAATAGTCAGACATCATAAAGCCAAACAAGCTTGCTCATATTAAATTTTGAAAACACAGACTATGGTACACTCTTCCAAACCACTTACATGTGCTTGAAATACACAAAAGAGCAGAATATATAAATTTCCTTCTTCTGATTATCTTTTCAAAAATGAAAATTTTATAGAAGTCTTTGAAGAGTGTTGTCCTCTGGTTTGCACCTTAACGTGGTACAGAGTTCAGCTATGAGAAAGGAGTGGAAATGCCAATCTGGAGCTTTTTTGACTCAAGTGTAATGGTTTCTGGAATTTGCCTTGAACCCATACTCGGTGCATTTTCACTTGTTTTTTCCTATTAACTTGTAAGCGACGATCAACCAGATTTTGCTTCTCATCTAACCCAGCCTTGCAGAACATACTGTGGACTTCCCCTGTAAGACAAAAATAGCAATCAGATGTGTGACACATGACTGGGGGGGGGGAGGGTGGTGACGGTCAGGAACATGGAACATTAAATGGAATGATATGACCATCTAAATGTCATTTATATTAGCAAATACGCTAGTGCAAATTGGTGAAGGAAACGTGAAATCAAGTGGGTTTCTTCTACTTTACAGATACATCGAGTATAAACAGGTTAGCACAGAAAGCATAGATACACAATACTATTGGTTACAGTTTTTAAAATTTTGAAAGGTACCCACTGTTTAAGTTTTTGTTGGTTTGCAGAGACCCAAAATGACACATTACAATAGTATTCACATAAGTTTGGAGAATACAGGATGCATTTTAAATACCTTCTTTTTAAAAAAATCTTCATCCGAGGACATTTTACCATTTATTTTCAGATAGAGTGGGAGGAGGGGAGAGAGAGAGAAAGAGAGAGAGAGAGAGAGACATTGATATGAGAGAGACACATTGCTTGGATGCCTCCTGCACGACCCTGACCAGGGCCAGGGACTGAACCAAAACCAAGGTACGTGCCCTTGACCGAAATTGAACCTGTGACATTTTGGTCCGTGGGCTGACGCTCTAACTGTTGAGCCAAAGTGGCAGGGCTTAAATACTTTTAAAAAAAAACACATTTTTTTTTTCCTTTATTGATTTGAGAGAGAGAGAGGAAGTGAGAGGGAGAGAGAGACAGAAACATCGATGAGAGAGAACATCGATTGGCCGCCTCCTGCATGTCCCCCTCTGGGGATTGGGCCCACAACCTGGGCATGTGTCCTGACCGGGAATCGAATGGATGACTTCTTGGTGCATGAGTCAACACTCAACCACTGAGCCACACCGGCCGGACTTAAATACTTTTTTAAAATGAGAAATTGACAAGAGCTAAGTAATTTTTTAGGGAGTCTAAAAATCATAGCCCTTCCTTTGGCTGTGGCACATCATCAATTTTTTTTTCATATCTGGATAACAGTAATTTCAAAATGGAATAGACAATCCCTTTATTTGGGTATAAGGATTGAATAAGTGATTATTTAAAGCAGTTTCAACTGGAGAAAGATTAGAAGGCAAAAAGGCCATTTTCAAGCTTTTATGTAGAATAGTACAGTCACCAAAATGTAAAGACATCTAATATTTAATCAACCACTGAAGCCTCATTTTTAAAGCTTTTGAATGTTCTCTCTGCAAACAATAACCAAAAAGATTTTTTTACAGCTAATTACTTCTGGTTATAGATAAGCGTACCTTTCGTGAAGAAATATGCTCTGGTACCATCTCCTCGAACATAAAAGTTTTCAGATAAACAATGCCCTGAAAAGAATATTGTGAGAAGAGAAACTTAGTATTCCTTAACAACAACACCTTGACATGAAATACAAATGAGGCATGCTTTAGAACACATGAAAATAATTTGAAACTGAATATACTATTACCCCTTTTAAAACGAAGCTGAGTCTTATCGTATCTTCCATAATCCCGAAAGAAAAGCATTCCTCCAGGTTTCAGTAACTTGGACAACTGGTTTACAACACCTTGCATCCTTTGAAAACAAGCAAGATATTCTGTTTGCAGAAATCTTTTATATGCCAAATTTAACTTCCTTTATTATTATTTTTTATTGTTTAGAGAAAGAGGAAGGGAGAGGGAGAGAGAGATGGAAACATCAATGACAGAGAATATCGAATGGCTGCCTCCTGCACACCCCCAACTGGGGACTGGGCCCAAAACCTGGGCGTGTGCCCTGACTGGTAATTAAACTGGTGACCTCTTGGTGCATGGGTCAACGCTCAACCACTGAGCTACACTGGCCAGGCACACATTTAATTTTCTTAAAGATAAAATAAAAAAAGGTTGATAAAGCCAAAGAAATATAAACCACAAAATAAGGGCAATAACAACAAAAATTATTTTATACAGAAAGAAAAAAGGACACCAACTTCCTAAATTATCAGATTCAAAAGGCCTAGAGGATCAAGAAATCACCCAAATGACCAGAGTTTGATGTATGAAGTCAAAGCTCAACTACAAAACCACAGACAATTTTTGATAATTACAGCAAATTAAAGTAGTTCCAAGGCAGACAAAAACATATGTCGCTCCATTTTCCTTGCAGGATAAAGAATATGCCAGAGTGATCCAAAATTGTACATATCTCAACAGAAATCACCCTTCCTCCAAAGTAGCTCCTTTTATCCTGATTTCTTTATTTAGTTCAAGGTACCGTCATTCATCAAAGTGTAACACCTCAGAGATATCATTAGCCCGTTTTCTCTTCTTCCACTATCCTCTCCAAAACCATGTGGTCATCAAATTCTGTCTTCTTTTTTCAATGGCATCTTTGATATTTTCTCTCTCTTCTGTTTCCCATTGGTACTCCCTTAGTCTGAACTACCACCTCCTAGGGGCCTGGAAACAGAATCGCTTCCTAACATGCTTTATTATTCTCCCTGTCAATTCTTCCTGTATATTATTGATGATTGTTCTGCTTAAAATGATGGTTTTTGTCAAATCATGCCTTTGTTTCATTAATTTTTTTTTTTTTTATCTTCACCTGAGGACATTTTTCCATTTTTTGTTCAGACAGAGTGGGAGGGAGAGAGAGGAAGAGAGAGAGAGAAACATCGACGTGAAAGGGACACATCGAGTGGCTGCCACCCGCACAACCAACCGCGGCCGGGGACAAACTGCAACCGAGGCATGTGCCCTTAGCGGGAACCAAAGCCGGGTCTCTCTGACCACAGGCTGACACTCTACCGCTGAGCCAAACCAGCCAGGGCTGTTCAATTAATTTTTGCATCCTCTTTCCCACTACTTCCTAATCTGAAGCACCAACTCTAGCCAAACTTACATGCTTGGCTCTGGGAAGTCCATGATTTTGTTCATATGGTTTCCCCTCAAAGAATTCTCTCCTTACAGTGGTTCCCAACCTTCCTAATGCTGCAACCCTTTAATACAGTTCCTCATGTCGTATGTGGGCATATCTGCATGTGGGCGGACCAGCCTGGAGATGGATAGAGGAGCGGTATCTCGGTTCCTAAGACCATCGGTAATATGTGTTTTCCGATGGTCTTAGGCAACCCCTGTGAAAGGGTCATTCAATCCCCAAAGGGGTCGTGACCCACAGGTTGAGAACCGCTGCCTTACACTCTGCTTATTTAAAGTCTATCCACACTGCAAGCCCCAACTCAATACTGGGAACTCTTTACTTTTCTTTTATAAGTTATTCTACTCATTTCATTCCCTTTCCAATACAACCTTTTATGACTGCTCTTGACTTAACATTTTTGGTTAAGTGTTCATGGACTTATGTGCAATTATGGGCGAGAGATGGCAAAGATTTCAGATCTTATATCAATGCCCAGCGTTTGACACTGGCTGCCTAAAGAGCTGTATTGAGAGGAACTTTTGGGCTCATTGGGAATGATGATCAGAGTACAAAATCAGTGTGCAATGTCTGCCCTGGGCAGAAAGTGGTAAAAGGGGGCCGGTGTGCTAAATCCTTGCCGTCTCTGCTTCATCCATGCTGCTGAAAGCTTCTGAGATGCTCTTATTTAAAAGTGAGGGTTTGGGATCACATCATCTGTACATTCCTTCTGATTAAAACACTGTTCAGTGGAATAATGGGGTGAAAAGCCAGACTATGGCAGGTTATGAAGGAAGTAGATAATAAATAAGACAATGAAAATAACTCTGAAAACAAGAAAGAAATACAACAGAGAGAGGTGGTATGATTAGATGAAAAACTCTTTTAAAAAAACTGGAACATAAGTACACGACAGGGAAAAAGAAAAGTATTTTTCCTTGTTTATATTATTACAGTTATTCCCCCCACACTGTTTGTATCCTTGGGCTTTGGCAATTATATAAAACTATATCTAACCCTTAAAAGAACTCACTTTCAGAATAAATGTTTTATATACTGAGAAAAATCTCTTTCTGCAATTATTACTACAACAAGCATGAAACAAAAATGCAAAAAAACAGAGAGCCAAATACAGTTGACCCTTAAACAACATGGGTTTGAACACTGCAGGTCCACTTATAGATGGACTTTTTTCCTAATAAATACATTAAAAACATTTTTGGAGATTTCCTTACTACCACAGATTACACTATGTTACCATAAAGCGATCATATTGCTGCTTCTCCATCATCAATGCATTTACATTTATTAAATTTATATTTAAATAAATATAAATTTTTCACAGTATCTTTTCATTTTTGATATCTAGTGTTAGTAATATATATATAACATCTACAGTGTTTTGTATCACATCACATAAGATAATACTGATGTAGATCTGACAGACCATCTAGCTTATAAACAGATGACGTAAACTTACGGTATCAATAAACACAACACAATACCGTAAATGGATTTTCCCTTCCTTGTGATTTTCTTAACAATATTTTCTTTTCAATAGCTTACTTTATTGTAAGAATACAGTATAGAATGCATATAACATTCAAAATATATGTTAACTGACTTTATGTTGTTAGTAAGGTTTCTAGTCAACAGTAGGTTATTAGTAGTTAAGTTTTTGAGGAATCAAAGGTTATATTCGGATTTTCAACTCTGCAGGTGGTCAGTAGCCCTTAATCCCCACCTTGTTCAAAGGTCAACTGTATTTCCAAAGGCAGCCACCTTCTTCTGCAAATCCTTTCTTCCCAACTACCCTGCCATGTCTGGGGTTGTGGGTAAAGGCACCTGCTGGGAGCTGCTGTCCTTAATCGTTGCACCTTGGCTCACAGTGCAGGGCCAGGGCCAGAACTGCGGGTGGAGTGGGCGGGCAGTGAGATGGGCAGGACAAGGATGGGACAAAGTCCTCTTTTCTTTCTTTACCTGACTGAGCCAACTCTGCTGTCCTCACCTATCTCTGGGTGAAGGAAGAGGAGAAAGAAAAGAAGAGATTTTTTAAAATGAGTATTTCCTGCCTACTCTATGCTTGGATCTGTGATAAATATATTATACTTTCTTTTACTTTAATAACAAGAAGGACAGTTAGCTCTTCTTTTGTAGCCTCCTATGGTTTATTTCCATTTAATCTGGGACCCCCAGATTAAAGGTCTAGCTGAATTTCCTGCTGTTCATTTGTGCATGGATTTTCCAAGCTGGCAAGAAGCTACTTTTCTAGAACTTTCCTGGGACTGAATCTACTATCGCAGTCCTAAATGACATTAAAGATACTGCCTTGCCTTTTCCCTTAAAGTTGCCCTTTTCCTACTCAAATGAGTAGAAAATGATCTTATTTTTAGATCATTTCCATGTAAAGAAGTGGCTATTGACATGACACATCTGAATTTATTCTATAATAAATAAATAGAATGGACAAACTGTACTAAAAAGCAATCTTCCCAAGATATCTGCTTTCCTTTCTCTTCAACATTTAATTCAAATCACGAGAAATCTAAACTAATTTCAAGTAGTCTTCTTGTGGTCTTATTTGGAACTTAAACATTTCCTGTTATGGGTGTCAAATAGAAAATCTTGTTCTCTATCCACCTACTCCATCCTTTTGACTATTCATTCTTTTAACTATGAAACAAAGCATGTAGATGACATTTTTCTACTAGTACCTGAATGATGCCAGTCGTCTAAATGGATTAGCAGGAACAAATAGGTTATAGAAACTGGGAGGAAAAAGGAGCTTCATGGAATCTGATCTATCTTACTAAGTGCAAGTATATCTTTCGTTCAGATTCATTTAGAAATCTAATTTGTTTTTCCACAAGTAATCAAAGTGCTCACCTCTGAATGAGAAGTAAAAGGACTGTGAAGGTCCTAGTGACCTGGTAATTGCAAAAGACACACATGGTAACTCAGCTTCTTTGGGAAAGGGTCACACTCATTGAACAAAAAGTGGCTGATGCCAAGACTGAATCTCCTACCAGAGGCTCCTTCCTGGAGCTGGATCTACTATCATAGTAGAAAACCCAATTTTAAGAAACTTTATGAAGGGACAACCCAGTGCCTTAATATATATGAAGTGGCAGAATTTTAAGAAAAGTGATTATTATTATTATTTTTTGTCCTCATCCGAGGACATTTTTTCCATTTTTTGTACAGACAGAGCAGGAGGGAGGGAGAGGAAGAGAGAGGGAGGGAAACATCGATGTGAAAGGGACACATCGAGTGGCTGCCACCCGCACGACCAACCAGGGCCGGGGACAAACTGCAACCGAGGTACATGCCCTTAGCGGGAACCGAACCCGGGTGTCTTTGGACCGCAGGCGGACACTCTAACCCCTGAGCCAAACCGGCCAGGGCAGAAAAGTGATTATTTTTAATTGCTGGTGATAGCTCTTTATGCTTCTTCTCTGGAGAAAAGCTATGTCTACTGTTTCAAAACACTGTGTATGAACAAAAAAATTTTAGTCATAAATATTTAAATAATGTCACAAGGCTAACCTTAGATTATAAAGGTCCAAAGTCAATCTGGCAGATCTTGATAACCCTTAATTCCCTAGTGGGCTTCTTCAAATCCATGTTTTTAAAGCCCCCTGACAGACCTGGGTGAAGCCAAATAGACTCACAGCCCACCTCTTCAGAGGCATTCCGTAAGGTGCTAAATCAAAGATGTTTGTTTCTGATCACTGAATGCGATTTTCCTCTTGGGAATCTATTAGGATGTTCCAAATTTGTAATTTCCTTGAAGCACTGTCACTTTTAATAGGTATGTGTCTTGCCAGAATGTGCTCACTCCATTCTGACAGTGACAGAAAGCTAACTAATGAAGCAATCTGACCAGTTTCTTTCTAAAAGTCGGATGAGAGGAAGAACTGCATTTAAAAGGCTGAATATTATACATAATATAGTACACTAAATAATAAATTCAAGAATTGTTATTTTTGCTTTGATAGTTCTAAAAACTACTACTGATAAAGGGGCTTGACACATTTGCTCTGCTCTTTCGTCTTCAGTCACCTGTCAGGATGAATAGATGAGAGCACGAAGACAAGGAGAATGACGTCCAGGATCCCATCTGGAAAAGGGTAGGCTGAGCGGTCGTCACAAACATCATGAACAAAGGCACAACACTGGGCTGCTCTGTAGGACGGATTCGACTGTCATGATCAAGGAATACAAGTAGTTAGCAGACTTAATAGTATTGTTCTTAAATAAAAAGGTCAATTTTTTTTACTTTTCCCAAGTGCCTTTCCTCTATACATTTGAATGCAGTTTATTTCCAATTCAGTATTGTTAACTTATTTCAAAAGCTGTCATAAAAAACTGTCTAACAGTTGGACTTGATAACAAATATTCTTTGCAATCCCTCTTTAATTTCAAAAGTGGAGCCCAGCCAGTGTGGCTCAGTGGTTGAGTGGTGACCCATGCACAAAGAGGTCGCTGGTTCGATTCCTGGTCAGGGCACATGCCCAGGTTGTGGGCCTGATCCCCAGTGGGGGGCATGCAGGAGGCAGCTAATCGATGTTCTCTTTCATTGATGTTTCCATCTCTCTCTCTCCCTCTACCTTCCTCTCTCTGTCTCCCTTCCTCTCTCTCTAAAATCAATAAAGAAAAAAAAATTTTAAGTGGAGTAGGGCACTCTCTGCCAGTCAGCAGGCAGCGTTGCTGGAAGAGGATGCGGTGTTATTTCTGAGGCATGGAGCTGCTCCTCAGCTCTCTTTGCCACTGCTGATGCCATGCCTCCTTTGGCTTAAAATATAAATATCCTATGCTAATAATCAAAACTAGATCAAACTTGCAAATACACTAAAAATCACTGCATTGTATACTTAAAATAGTGAATTTTATGGTATGTAAACTGTATTTTAAAAGACTGCATTAGAGTAAATACACACACACACTTCACCTACAAAATCAGTACAACAAGGATATATACCAAAATATTAATAACACTGATTCCTACAAGGACTCTAGGAATTGTAATGTAAGTAAATTTTATCTTCCCCTTTAGGCTTTTCAGTTTTTTAGAAACTGTCTACAATGAGTAACTATTATTCTTATTATTAGAAATCATGTTCCATGTTTTTACTATACATTTTTTGTTCGCAGAATTTCCTTTCCTTTTCCAATTCCTAACATTACTTCTTCTTGCTAAGGTCATGCTCACCAGCATTTGGGGACTGGTCAAATAAGTCCAGGTCCCCCTCTGTTTTCCTTACCTTCTAGGACATTTTAGATTTGCAATATATGCCTTTTCAGACATTGTCTCTCCCCGCCACCCCCACTCCCATTTTAATTTAATGAATGCCTACTATATGCCAGGCTGTGTGTAAGGCTTTATAGACATAGATATGAACAAGATCACCTTGTAGGAGCTGTTGCCCTTTCTAGGTGTACTAGTCCCTTGAACTCTATGTTATAAAGTTCAAAACAACTTTTATTGTTTTAGAGTCATATCTTAGACATCAGCTGATGGTATGATTCCCAGAAGCAGTAAAAGCTCAGTTAAAAATGGTCACAGATAACATCTGATGCAGAAACATTCCCTCCTGTTCCCCCAAATCACTTCAACAGCAAATAAATCAGGTTCTTATATGGCTCTCTTTAAAGAAAACACAAGGCATACCTTTACCAGCTCCACAGCTCTGGAGGCAAAATCACAACAATAAAGAAAGGACTCTGGAGCATTCCTATGAAAACAAAAGAAACATTTAAGTCTAGAATCCAGATATGTTCACTCTGCAGAAGAAAGTAAACTAGATTAAAACTAGTAAAAAGTATTTCCTTAATAGAATTTTGGTTGACACTTAGCTTGTCATTTCTTCTTTGTAATATTGTTCTCTGTAGTGGTTTATGGGTGGCCTCCTTCATATTGCCTCTGAATCAACATTGTTTCAAACACTTATTAATTACAGGGTTAATTTCAAATTCCTGTCCTGGTTTTAAGGCTCTCCATTACTAAGGCCTATGTACCCTCAAATCATACTCTCACATGGGCAAGTTCCAAGGTCATCCATCAGCTATCCACTCTGTCTGCTCTGCCTCTAACAGGATGGTCTACAGCTACTCTTAGCTTAGGTAACTTCTACTCTTCTCCAAGGGCCCTCACACCCCTGTGTCCCTTGGTGCTTCATTCCTCTTCCTGTGTATACAAGTCATTTGGCTTCTGGGCCTCTGATGCCCTCAGGGGGCAGAGAAACACACACACACACACACACACACACACACCCCCACACACCCACACCCACCCACCATGTAAATACAACTTCTAAAGAACAAAACACTAATACATTAATTCTTTGTTATCTTTTCAAATTATTGTCAAACTTTTATTGAGACTCATATATGTACCAAGCATTAGAATACAAAGTACTAATGGAATTGTGTAATAAGAGTACACATTTTAGAATCAAATAGACCTGTGTTTAAATCCTGGATTTTCCATTTATTAACTTGTGAATTTGATGTAATTTCTCCAAGATTCAGGTGGGTTTATTTATAAAATGTATAGAAAGCAAGTAAATTTAGCTTTTTTTTTTCCTGGGGTGGTGGGGAGATTTACTCATATGAAAACCTTGATTAATTTTAATTGACCTCCACTGAACTTAGACAAGTTCTATTTGGACTTTATCTGAAATTCAGTAACAATGGCTGGATGATGGTTGTTAATGGACAGGTGCATACTTTGAATTCTGTGGGCCAGTATCCTTTTTGATCATCTCTCATATGCTGGTATCAATTATCCTTGCATCATGTTGCTTAGTACATGTCTGAATCACAGAAAGGGATCGGTGTGTCATTAAATGTTAATTATCAGTATGGTCTTGGCTGTTGTGGATTTTATAACCTATGTGGGGACGTAACTGGTTTTATATAACTAGTATAGGAGTGAGGACAGGGCAGGCTTCTGGAGGTGTGAATTTTAAGAATTCTGAAGGAGGGGATGTCAATGCTAAATGGGTAGAAGGGGAATTGCTTTAAGGGTTTAGAGGTGGGATTCCAAGAGCCCAAACTCGTATGAGGCAGGATATACAGGCAGGTCTTTTTCTTTATTGATTTTTATTTTATTATTATTATTTTTAAATGATAAAAAAAGACACATCTTTTTTTTAAGTTTTTCTTTTCCTTATTGATTTTACAGAGAGAGGAAGGGAGAGGGAGAGATAGAAACACTGATGAGAGCGAACATCAACTGGCCACCTCCTGCATACCCCCCTCAGGGGATTTGGCCCACAACCTGGGCATGTGGCTTGACTTGGAATTGAACCAAAGACCTCTTGGTGCATGGGTCGACGCTCAACCACTGAGCCACACTGGCCGTGCTACAGGCAGGTCTTGAAGCACATAATTAGAACTTCTAATTTGATTCAGGAAGCATTTCAAGCAAGGAGGACTTTTAAATAAATATGGACTATAAGCACAAATATGCATTTAGTAAAATCTCATCCAGGCTCAGATTATACTCTTAAATGCTACTCATTGATGAATATTATGTTCACCTATTCCTCATTTGTTCTGTGGCATTGAGGATTGACATTTGATTTAAGATCTTTCCAAATAAGTTCAAGTATGAGGACTAGAATTTTGTTATGAAAAGTTAGCCAGCACTGAATCATCTCTCTGTAACTCTGTTTCCTCATCTTTATTTTTTTATCCTCACCCGAGAACATTTTTATATTTATCTTCAGATAGAATGGGAGGAAGGGAGAGAGAAACATCAATGTGAGAGAGACACATCGAGTGGTTGCCACCCACACAACCCCAACTGGGACCGGGGACAAACTGCAACCAAGGTACGTGACCTTAGCGGGAACCAAACCTGGGACTCTTTGGTCCACAGGCTGACATTCCAACCGGCCAGGGCTGTTTCCTCATCTTTAAAACAGAGATAAATATGGCACCTAAGGTGGTTATGAGGATTGATAGATTCATATAATTAAAGTTTCTAGAAAGGTGTCTAAGTCAGAGTACGAACCTAATAAAATGTTAGTCATTATTATGTTGTTGCTGTTGCTATCATCATCATGTTATTAAAGGAAGGTCTCTCTCTGCCTTTCAGGAACTTAAAAACTTAGGAACTTAATAGGGTTCTGTAAAAACTTCCATTTAACCCAAAATGCTTCTCTGGACATTGGCATGTCCAGCTCACTATGAAAGATACTCTGAACAGTCTAGTTGCTAAAGGAAAGCATGGGCCATTTGCCATTTGTCCTACCACGGTGGCAACATGACCTCTGAGTCTGAATTCCCACTGCATCAGCAGCCCAAGTTGAAGTCTTGTGACCACTCAATGACTTTCCAGAGCTTTTCTGTAAAATCATCTGACTGCCTTGGCCCTTCTCCCAGCAAGCAGGTGTAAATATCACTACCACCACCACACCACCAAGCACTCTCTTGGCAGCGGGTTTAAGAATTAAATGATCCTTGGAGAATGATATGACTTCTCAATTCCCAAGGCCTAATTATGGTAAAATAGTCTAAAAATGTAAAACATTAACCCTGTACTTTCCAAAAGTGATAAAGCATAATTTCTTAGGTGAGGGAAAAAAGTCTTATCTTCCTTTTGGAAGGTTAATTACTCGTTGCCTTTTAAAGATGAATTATTTAGCCCTGGCTGGTTTGGCTCAGCAGTTAGAGTGTCGGCCCACTGATTGAAGAGTGGAGGGTTTGGTTCTGGTAAAGATGAATTAATTAGTTCAGATTACTGAGCTACAATGATTTCTGAAATGTGGATATGAGGCAAAATAAGACACAAACAAGAAGAGCCAGGGAGTGAGGAAGCAAGAGCTTGCAAATATTCATTGAAGGGAGAAGTGGAGAGGGAAAACTACAACTAACAAGTGGGGAATCAGAGATATTAATAAGTCAATACATACTGAGCTCAAACGATCTATATTGTACTGTTAGGCTATCTGGAAAATCAGATTAGGGTAAAATATGCTCTCTCCCTCAAGGAATAGAAACAGGTTGGAGAGATAAGACATAAAGAAATGACATGCTAAATAATACCTTGAGATGAGTCATAAAGTAACACATAATCGACTGCCAATGTAGTAGATTTATGTGTGTATTATAAGCATGGAGATGACTGGAGTGAAGGAACCTGGCTATGTGCTATAAAAGAACAGGAAATTTCAGTCCAGAAATTGGAAAAGGGAAAAAAACACAAGGAAATAAGTATAAAAAGAGAAAGGCCATTCAGAACTGAAAATTCGCCAGCATCACTTGTCCCTGGCCACTTTAACTGTTATTTGATGCTATTAGGGAATTACTTACTATTCATTATGTTAGGTTTATAATAGCATTGGAGAATGTCCTGATTTTTTTGGAGATATATCATAAGACACATCATACTTAAAGATAAAATGTCAAGCCTGGCCGGTGTGGCTCAGTGGTTGAGTGTCAACCTATGCACCAAGAGGTTGTTGGTTTGATTCCCAGTCAGGGCACATGCCCAGGTTGTGGGCCAAAACCCCAGTATGGGGCGTGCAGGAGGCAGCCAATCGATGTCCTCTCTCATCAATGTTTCTATCTCTCTTTCCCTCTCCCTTTCTCTCTCTCTAAAAATAAAGAAAAAAAAAAACTTAAAAAAAAAAAAAAGATAACGTCACAATACTGGCATTACATTAATAATTATTGAATTGAGGGGGTGGGTAATGTGGGGATTCATTGTGTAATACTCTTTATTTTTCTGAATGCTTTTATATTTTCATACTGAATGTTGAAAAATAGCATTGTTGCCCTGGCCAGTTTGGCTCAGCGGTTAGAGCGATGGCCCGCGGACCAATGAGTCTCGGGTTTGATTCCAGTCAAAGGCATGTACCTCAGTTTCAGTTTGTCCCAGGCCCTGGATGGGGTAGTGTGAGAGGCAGCCAGTCAATGTGTCTCTCTCACATTGATGTTTCTCTCTTTCTCTCCCTCCCACTCTATCTGAACAAAAATGGAAAAATATCCTTGAGTGAGGATTAAAAAAAAGCATTGTTAAATTTTGAAAATATGCATAGAGAAAAGACTGAAAAGAACTACAACAAAAATTCTGTCGGCAGCTATGTTAGGGTAATGGGGATGATGGGTAGTGCTGTGGTTGTGACCTCCCCACCCACCACTTTTCCTCTAATGGAAATGTTCTGGAATGTGCTTATGTTGACTGTATAATGGAAAAATAATGTAAAAGCTATTGTGTAAACTTAAAAAGAAAAATAACTTGATTGACCAGCTATAGGTAAAAGGTGTTAGAAAAGTTTTATAAGGTGTGTCTTCTTTGTTATGGAGACTAAAATATATAGGTGAGGTGGAGAACAGGGAAGGGCAGGCAGAAAAACATCTCTGTCCCTATCATCTACTTCTTTTTTGAATTTTAGGATTAGTTGCTGTTATGTCCAAACAATTTCAAGTCTAGAGACAATCATTTGACATCCAAAGGTTTTATCCTGGGTGTGGCTCTGGAAGTAATGACAAAGTAGAATGAGGATTAAAACATAAGCTTTAAGCTCAATTCTCTGTGTGTAAAATGACACCTATGTCATCCTCGAGGAGCAAACCTCTAAGTTAGCAATTCACAGCTTAGTGGAAGGATCAAATCTCTTGCTCTTTTCTGATTCACTCATCCACACAAACGTGGGCATAAAAAAATACTTCGCCCTGGCCGGTTTGGCTCATCAGTTAGAGCACTGACTGGTAGACTAATGAGTTGCAGGTTTGATTCCGGTCAAGGGCATGTAGGTAGTTCGGAAAGCAACCAATCGGTGTGTCTCTCTCACATCAATGTTTCTCTCTCTCTTTCTTTCTCTCTCTCTCTCCCCTCGTTCCCACTCTATCTGAAAATAAATGGAAAAATATTCTCGGGTGAGGATTAAAAAAAAAAGATACTTCAACCTTGGTGGATAACCCATGGCTATCAAACACTGTTTTCAGAGTAATTCAGGGTAAACTTGAAATTAGGCCCTAAGACTAAGACACTGCGTTTGAAATTTGCCTTAGTCAATGTTTATATGGGAACAAGAACACTACTGGCATATACATGACAACATTTTCCCAGAATTCCTCAACATCCCATAGACATATAACATTTTTTAGAAGAAAATTTGAAACTCACTGCAAAGTGTTCAGAATTGGAAAAACGCTGTTTCCAGCACCGCAGCCAACCTAAAATCAAGAGAACAAACAAGTATCATGAAAACAACATTAAATTTTCCTCACCAATGTCAGATTTTTTATTAAAAAAAAAACAACTAGAAGAAATTTATTGGACCTCTGGGTATAGGAGAGTTTTCAAAAGCAAAAGCAAAGGAATAAATCACAAGAATACTACTAAGAAATTTGATTATAAAAACACTTAAAAATTTTATATACTAAAAACCAAAATAAACTGAATTAAAAGATGACCACTGTGAAAACACATTTGCAGTAAATATGAAAAAGGGCTCATTAAAAACACACACGCACGACTTCCGGTCAAGATGACGGCGTAGGTAAAGGCGGTATCGCGTCCTCCCACAACCACGTCAGTTACAACTAAACTACAGAACAACCGTCTTTCAAAACTGCTTGACATGGAGCTGAATGGAAGTCCTACAGCTACGGAATTAAAGCAGCAGCCACACAGAGACTGGTAGGAGGGGCGGAGGCGGAGGGGCTGGTCCCACACCTCATGTGGCGGATAAAAATCAGGAGGACACCTCAGCTGGGAAGGTCCTCCCTGAGGACTGAGGGGTCCCCGTCCCGCACCAGGCGCTCTGCTCAGGGTTCCAGTACCAGGAAGAGAATCCCCATAACTTCTGGCTGGAAACACCAGTGGGAACTGAGGATCGGGGAAGCTGACGCAGCTGGAGCCCCAGGCAGCAACTCTTTATTTTTTTATCCTCACTCGAGGACATTTTTCCATTTTTTGTACAGACAGAGTGGGAGGGAGAGAGAGGAAGAGAGAGAGAGAAACATCTACGTGAAAGGGACACATCGAGTGGCTGCCACCCGCACGACCAACCAGGGCCAGGGACAAACCGCAACCGAGGTACATGCCCTTAGCGGGAACTGAACCCGGGTCTCTCCGGACCGCAGGCCAACGCTCTAACCACTGAGCAAAACCAGCCAGGGCTAGGCAGCAACTCTTAAAGGGCCTGAGAACGGCATTATCGGACTCACTCCCTCTAAGCTTGGAGGGGAGGCAGGTCCACAAGCACCAGAGACACACAGGGAAGAACTGAGCTGTTTGGCACTGGAGCAAGGGCTGGAGAGGGGGGTTTCTCCGGGACAAACGTGCTGTCAGAGGCCTTTGTTCCTTTGGTGAGCCTTTCCTGAGGTGGCAGACAGCCGCCATATCTGGGACTCCAGCAACCTGGCTCACACTGTTTGCCCGGGCCTGGTGATTCCCTGAGGCCCTGCCCCACCCAACTTTCAGGCCCACCCAAGCTGTTGCCACTTGCTTAACCATAGGATTGGCCTGTCTTGGATCCTGCTTCAGGTTTTTCCTAAATTCTTTCAAACAAGCAGCATCTGGTCTCAGCGAGCCCCATACCTCTCATTAAGTAATACACTGAAACAAACACAGGGAGGCAGCCAAAATGAGGAGACAAAGAAACAGGTCTCAAAGGAAAGAACAGAACAAAACCCCAAGAAAAGAACTAAGCGAAATGGAGATAAGCAACCTAACAGATGCTGAGTTCAAAATACTGCTTATAAGGATGCTCAATGAACTAAGTGAGAATCTCAGTGAACTTAGTGAGGGCCTCAAGAGCATAAAAAAGGACCAGTCAGAAATGAAGGAGGCACTAACTGAAATAAAGAATAATTTACAGATTCAATAGTAGAGTAGGTAAAGCCAAGAAGCAATCCATCGGTTTGGAATATAAGAAAACAAAAAAACCTCAATCAGAACAGCAAAAAGAAAGAATCCAAAAAAATGAGGATAGTGTAAGGAGCCTCTGGGACAACTTCAAGCGTGCCAACATTCGCATCTTGGGGGGTGCTAGAAGGAGAAGAGGAGAACAAGAAATCAAAAACCTATTTGAAATAATGGCAGAAAACTTCCCTAACTTGGTGAAGGAAACAGACATACAAGTCCAGGAAGCACAGAGAGTCCCAAACAAGATGAACCCCAAGAGGCCCACACCAAGACAGATCATCATCAAAATGCAAAAGGTTCAAGACAAAGAGAGAATCTTAAAAACAGCAAGAGAAAAGCAGTTAGTTACCTACAAGGAAGTTCCCATAAGGCTGTCAGCTGATTTCTCAAAAGAAACTTTGCAGCCAAAAAGGGAGTGACAATAAATATTCAGAGTGATGAAAAGCAAGAACCTACAACCAAGATTACTCTATCCTGCAAAGCTGTCATTTAGAATCAAAGGCCATATAAAGAGTGTCCCAGACAAGAAAAAGTTAAAGGAGTTCATCACTACCAAACCGCTATTATATGAAATGATGAAGGGTCTTTTTGAAGAAAAAGATAAATATATGAACAAAATGGCAATTAATACATATCTGTCAACAACTGAATCTACAAACAAAATGAACAGTCAGAACAGAAACATTCTCATAGATACAGAGAACATTTTGTTGGTTGCCAGACAGGAGGGGAGTTGGGAGAATGGGTGAAGGGATTAAGAAGTACAAATTGGTTGCTAGACTGACAAACCTCAATGGGAAGGGGGTGAGGGGGGTGAAGAAATAAACCAAAGAACTTATATGCATAACCAATGGACACAGACAACAGTGTGGGAAAAGGCGGGAGGGGGTCGGGAGTGGGGAGAAGGGGGTCGGGAGTGGGGAGAAGGGGGTCAATGGGGGAAAAATGAGGAACATCTGTAATACATTGAACAATAAAGAAAAAAAAGGTAGAAGAAGCACACAATTTGGCAATATATTAAGAGTATTAATCATTTTTATAAATTATGAACTAGTAATCTAACGGAAGACAATAAAAGAAATGCAGAATCCCAAAGATGCTTGCTGTAGAAACCTGAAAACAATTTCAATGCTGAATAGTGTGAAGAAGATAAGTAGAATTATAGTCCTCCAAATAGTAAAATATTTTGTAACCATGAAAATGTTTACAGAAAAGAATTCAAAGATAGGGACAACAGCTTATAATATAATGCTAAATAGAAACAAAGCAAGACCCCAGAACACATGTATAGTATAGATCAACTATATAAAACAGTATAAACAAAAGGAGAAAATGGCAGTAAAATGTTAACAGTGGGATTATAGATAATTTTATTTCTCTTATCTACTCTTTAGCAAATTCTCTGTAATTAATATATTCTACTTTTATAATCAGAAGAAAAAGCCTATTTTTAAAAATAGAAAATCAAGGTCTACAACTAGATTATAGCAAATTATATATCTCACTTATTTCACCTAAAATGAAATAATAACAGAAAGAGATAGAAATTAAGGCCAAAACTTTACCGGTATTTAAAAACGCCTTCAAGTTAAAAATTAAAACAAACAAAAATTAAAATCACAAACTTAAAACCTGACTGATTAAAGATATGAGTCCTTAAATTTTTTTATGTTCAAAAGTATCCTGAAAACGTAGTTATATTTGATAATTTTCTCCCTAAAAAAATCTGGATCATTAATAATATGAATGTCCACTTTACAATGATTTGCCACCTCCCGTCTTTGGCCCGCAGCACAGCACCTCCAGGATTCGGAAAGCGGCGTTGCTACCAGGAAACAGCTCAGTCTGCAGAGGTCCTTTTCTGTGTTCTTCCGTGTCCGGGTTGGAAAAATCAGATTCTTCTTTGCTTTGACCATCTGACAAGCCAGAGCATTTCTTATAATCATTTTTTTCTTCAGGCATAGTAGGGCAGTGCTTTCTTGAGAAACAGTTTGCAGCATCAGTTTTTACATGATCCCATGATAACTCTTTTGCCTTCTTTTCAGTTTTCTGATCAACTGGAAGAATTTCAGGAAATTCCCTCAACAGCCAGTTGCGATCCTTGAAAAACTTATTCTTATGAATCTTGTAAAATGTGTCCCAATATTTATTAGCTTCACTCTCATACTTAACTAAAATAAAGAGAAAAACATATTTTACTATGAATTTTACATTTACTATTAGTTATTATTCTAATAACTAAATATATTTAATAGTTAAAACTAAATATATTTAATAGATACATTATTTGTCCCTTATAACAAGTATATTTACTATGGAATATCGTCCATATTATGATTATCTGATTTTTAAAAACTCTTACAGGTTAAAACTACAGAGTATTCTCTAAAAATGTGTCAATGTGTGGGGTACTTAGTTCATCTGCTTCTGTCTCAATAGTTTGGCTGATAAGTTTTTGTGAGGAATATAATCATTGGAAACTACTTTCTACAGTCTAATCTTGGAATCTTAATAATCACATTTCTAGCCAACAACCCGTAAGGCTTTCTACTATCTTAGAGAAAGACACCTTATTTTTGTCTGTGGGAATGCAGTTTCAACATGATGTCTGTGCAAATTGGTAATCAGACAGGAAATTGTGGTATTATAAATGACATGATCTTGGCCCATGGCCGGTTTGGCTCGGCAGTCAGAGCATTGGCCCACGGACCAGAGAGTCCTAGGTTCAGTTCCCGCTAAGGGCAGGTGCCACGGTTGCATTTGTCCCCGACCCCAGTTGAGGTCGTGTAGGTAGCAGCCAGTCGATGTGTCTATCTCACGTAGATGTTTCTCTTTCTCTCTCTCTCTCTCTCTCTCTCTCTCTCTCTCTCTCTCTCTCTCTCTCTTTTCCTTCCTCACTCTTTCCTATTCTATCTGAAAATAAATGCAAAAGTGTTCTCGGGTGAGGATAAAAAAAAATTTTTTTTTTAAATGACGTGATCTTGGAGCTGGAATGGTACATTGAAATAATCCACTCCAACACCTTTGTTTTGCACTGGAAGAAAGACAGCACAGAATAGATGAACCCAGTTGTTCCAGGGCCCAGAGTCCCATCACAGCAGAACCAGGCACACATATATATCCTGACTCCTGGAGTCTAGGGGCCATCCCATAACTCCATTCTTCCCCCACCTCCAGAGGCATCTTTTCCTATTGACATCTCCTAATATGAAGCCTCAAAGAGAATTTCTGATGCCTTTTTTTTTTTTATCTTCTCCTGAGGACATTTTCCCATTTTTGTTCAGGTAGAGTGGGAGGGAGAGAGAGGAAGAGAGAAAGAGAGAAACATCGACATGAAAGGGACACATTGAGTGGCTGCCTCCCGCACGACCCCAACTGGGGCAGGGGATAAATCGTAACCAAGGTATGTGCCCTTAGTGGGAACTGAACCCTGGTCTCTCTGGACCGCAGGCCGACGCTCTAACTGCTGAGCCAAATCAGCCAGGGCTTCTGATGCCTTTTTAAATTTTTCTTTTTATTAATTTATTTTTTATTACAGATGTCTTTTCTATTTCCCCCTGTTGCTACCCTCCTCCCCGCTCCCACCGTCCCCCCACCCTCCCTCCACCATACTGTTGTCTGTATTCATTGGTTATATCTGATGCCTTTTTTTTTTTTTAATCCTCACCTGAGGATATTTTTCCATTTATTTTCAGACAGAATGGGAGGAAGGGAGGGAAGGAAGGAGGAAGGGAGGGAGGGGGAGAGAGAGAGAGAGAGAGAGAGAGAAACATTGATGTGAAAGAGACACATTGACTGGTTTCCTCCCCTACAACCGCTACCAGGGCCAGGACCAAACCACAACTGAGGTGTGTGCCCTTGACCAGAATTGAACCCGAGACTCTTTGGTCCACCAGCCGACACTCCAACCGCTGAGCCAAACCACCCAGGGCTCTGATACCTTTTAAAAAGAGATATGCATTTTGTGATGTCATTCCTTAGATTTCAGTGGATCCCAGGGTAAAGGTTAGGCCGAGTCTCAAAATTTTAGGGAATTCTTAGTTTTCTGTCTCTTTCTATCTATACTTTAAATTAATAAACTAATCTATTCACTCATTCATCCAACAAACATTTCTTGGATACTATTCTGTATCAGGCATACTCCCTAGGTTTAATCCATGGGTTAAGAATTTCTTTCACCCAATGTAGACACAGGATATTTTAAAAGTGCTTTTAAAGAATAAAAAAACCCAAAGGAGAAATATCTGTAACAACAACAACAAAAAAATAGCAATATTTTATTTAAAAAAATATAAAGAATAAAAAAACCTATAATATAGAATAATTTTCAAGATTCAACGTTAGTTTAAAAAACAAAGTGTAGAACAGTATGTCATAATGCAACTACTGGTTAGGAAAAAAAAAAGAATATGTGTGTGCATACACAGAAACATACATGCATGTATGTATACATGTTTACTTGTATATACGTACAGAATAGTTCTGGAAGGATAATCACCTAATTAGTAATAATGGTTGCTTCAAAAGAGGGGAACTTAGTGGTTTGAGAATTTTCATTGGAATTTTGATCTGTATGAACTTACTATATACCAAAAATAAATTAAACTAAACTAAAAATAACAAACTCATTTCTTTCATAATTTTAAAGAAGTCCCTACCCTCAGAACAAGCAGTGCCTAGAGCCAGGTTCGTCTTTGTTACAGAGCCCTGTCCTGAAGCCCTTATCGTTTCTCTTTTCTTTCCATTTTTATCTTTATGTCCTTGGACCATGGATCTCCACCCATTTGGCCACAAGACTTCCTTCCCATCAAGGCTGAACTATATCTGGCACCAGGACTGCTTTAAAGACAGAAACTCCCATCTGTATTTAAGGTCTGAGAAATGAAAGTAGATCTCTGTAACAAAAGAATATGTGATGAAGTCCAAGACATGCTCATATCTGCACTAATGGAAGCCTATTCATGATTAATCTAAAAATGCTATATATTTATCTTTACAACAGTCCTATCTTTACTTTTAAAAATTGGAGTGTACCCGATAGACAAAGAAAACAAAACAACGTTCTAAAAGTCAGACTCAGGAGGAATTAGAAAACTGTCTAATTTCCCCAGGGTCTTCTTGCACTTTGTCTTCTTACTTTTATCTTAAAGACTCTCTTTGTAACTCACTGAATGCTGGTAGAAAGTTATTCTGCTTAATGAAAGGCAACCACCTAACAAGACCTACATTTAGTCAAATCTCTGTGTTTCCAATACCAAGCTACTTGTGAAGTGACTTTGAACCCAACTATCAGTAAACAGAATGTAATGCTATACCTTGATTAATTTGCAGAATATTCCCCTAGGAATTAATTGGGGGTAGGGAGGTAGTCAGTAGGGGAGTAACTTGAAAGAAAAGATATTCATAGCAGTGCTACTTATAAGAGGAAAAGTAGGAAATAGCTCAAATACCCAACAAACCATGACCAAGCAAACCATACAGGTCAAAACAGTAATCTTAGGTAGCAATTAAAATTGAAAAGACAATAATAAAATAAAACATTCATACAGAATAGTCTATTCACTGAGTGCAACTCAAAAATTGATTTTACATTCATTTATTATAATTAGATGAAAATTTAAAGTGATGGTAACAATTTAATGATTATTATGTAGTTCTTTCTTTTGCAGTGTTTTATCTACACCTTACACAAAGATAAAGAATCTTAGTTGATTCTTCATTCAACTTGCCTACTCAGTTTCCTTATTTGATGAGGGGTTGAATCTACCTCTATGTTCAAGCTCTAAAAAGTCTATGTACTTTTCTATTAAACTCCATAAACTTATGGAGAACATTAAACATTATCAGTTCTACAAACTACAAAATCTTGGATAAGATTGTTGTCATAAGTATGAGCTTGTATTACTTGTTTAATTTTTACAATATATAAAAAAATGAATCTGTAGTAGGTGACTAGACTCTGGTTCAGATATCAAATATATCAAGCATCTAAATTCAGCCCTTGCCTATTAAATCTTTAAAAATAATCTGAATAGTTTTAGAAGATGATAGTCAAGGTCTGCTAATACTTTCAAGCCCTTTTCAAGTATTTCCTACTCATGAATTAGGAGGAAATAAACACAAACAATTACATAAATCATTATACCAATAACAACATCATTAAAAATAACAATTACACAAAATGAGTGTTGATTATGTGCCAGATACTATGTCAAATGCTTTACTTGGCTTTTTCTTCCCATTTAATCCTAATAACACCGCTCAAATAGGCATATTATTCCAATGTATAAAGAAATTCAAGATCAGAGGGAATAAAAAAAAAATCCCCAAGGTCCAGCAGAGCTGGGACCTGAACCAAGTCTATCAAACCTTAAAGCTCATGCTCTTAACACCATTCCACTATATTGCCTTCCTATCACAAAATCAATAGTAACCCCCTCCAAAACATCTCTGATAATCTGTTTTTCTTTCAGGTTTCTGCTGACACTTTATTTTTGTTTTTTTGCACTCAACACTATTTTGTATTAGTTTCAGGTGTACAGCACAGAGTATAGACATTCATGTAGATTACAAAGTGTTCCCTCTGATAATTCAAGTGCCAACCTGGCACCATAGATAGTTATTACAATATTGTTAACTCTATTCCCTGTGCTTTACCTTACATCCCTGAGACTATTCTGTAACTATCAACTTGTACTTTTTAATCCCATCATTTCATTTATTTCACCCCACAACACCCCTCCCTTCTGGCCTCCATCAGTTTGTTCTCTATAGTCTGTTTCAATTTTGTTTATTCATTTACTCTGTTCTTTAGATTTCACATGTAAGTGATATCATATGGTATTTGTCTTTCTCTGTCTGGCTTATTTCACTTAGCATAACACCCTCTAGGTCCAGCCATGCTGTCCAGTCATGTAAATTAATCTGTTTTCTCGAGTCTATACTTTCCTCTCATTATGAAACATCAAGTTAAAATTAAAACCTCAGTACGACTTACAATCAGTATAACTAAATTGTAAAATTAATGCTGATTGGAGTAAACCTTCATAATAGTGATATGATGAAATTATGATGAGCAATGGCAACATAAAATGCTCTCTGAGAATAGATGGGTTTGAGGCATAGAAACAAAACAGGAACAGCACCCAGGATGGGACAGGGAAAGGTTAAT